AACTTCTTGGCTGGTGGGACTGAGTCAGAAGCTAACAGGGCCTCCCCCGCCACCCGCGTCTCCCCTCCCTCCCTGTCCCTCTGTTCACACCCCTTAGAGCTGGCGTTCCCCCGAGGCCCACGCGCAGCCTCTGCTTTTCTCACTGGTAAGTTGTGATGGTCCATTCCCTGTGCCTGGTATGTTCGTCTTTTTGATGCAATTGTAAGTGGAACTGTTTTCCTTATTTCTTCAGTTCACTGTTGGCGCGCGTTTCTGTGCGTCAATTTTGTGCCCTGCAACCTTACTGAATGTGTTTGTTAGTTCTAACAGTTTTTAATGGATTCTTTAGGGTTTTCTATATTCAAGGTGGGCAAAAGTAGGCTTACGGTTGCTCGTATGGAAAATAATACAATGATTAATGAACAATAATACCAGGATAAACTCGGTCTCAGCTCCTCACCACTCTAAGCCTACTGTGGTCCCACCCTGTTCAATACTGCGGGGACACACTCCCCTTCAAACAATGCGCTTCACTTTCCAATATGGATGCATTTTACTTCCTTTTTAAGTTTAATTTTTTTAAAATATAATTTTATTGATTTCAGAGAGGAAGGAAGAGAGAAAGATAAAAACATCAATGGTGAGGATCACTTACTCTCCGTGGACGAGCCCAAAACCCAGGCATGTGCCCCGACCGGGAATTGAACCGGGACTTCCTGGTTCATAGGTCAACACTCAACCACTGAGCCATGCTGGCCGGGCTCCCCCCACCCCCACCCCTATTTTCTCTGGCTGGGACTTCTCGTACTTTGTGGAATGAAAGTGGTGAGACTGGGCGTCCTTGCCTTGTCCCTGATCTTGGAGGGAAAGCTTCTAGCTGTTCCTGTTGAGTGGGATGTGGCTGTGGGCTCGCCATAATGGCCTCTACTGTGTTGAGTACATGCCTTCTATGTCCCCTGTGTTGAGAGTTTGTATCGTGGATGCATGTTGAGTTTTTTCACACCTTTTCTGCACCTGTTGAGAGGGTGATGTGCTTCTGGCCTTCACTGTGTTACTGTGGTGCATGGCGCGGACTGATCTGTGGACGTTGAGCCATCCTTGCATCCCTGGAATAAATCACACTTGATCTCTGTGCTATTTTTGAACCATTTCTGTATGTCTAAGATTATTGCCCAAGAAAAGGTTTAAAATACTATATACTGTTTTGGAATAAGTATAAATGCTGTCAAAATACAGCCGTTTCTATGGACATGAGCACCAAATTCAAGAGAGTGGTTGCCCGCAATCAGGAGAACACAATTAGGGAGGTGTATAGAGTGGTGGCTTCAACTCTGCTTGCACTAGTTTTCTTTATAAGCTGCAGGATAGATAGTAAGGTCGGTATTGCATTATTCTTTGCGATTTTGTATGTGTGTTTTTATAACAAAGTATTCAAGGAAAGTACTCATTTAAAAAGACAATACAGAACTCATGGCAACCCATGCCATGAATCTGTGACTGTCCCGGAGCCCCGCCCCCGCCCCCGCCCCCGGTTCCAGACGGAAGCTCTTGGCCTGAAGAACGCGGTGGTGTCAGTCAACCACCGCTTTGCAGAGCCTCTGCCGGCTGCATCTGAGAGGAGAGGCCTTCCTCCTGGGATGCCCTCTGTGCGGGCGGGAGGCGGGTGGGAGGGGAGGCAGAGGGAAGGGAAAGAGGGAAACCCTTCCAAGGCGAGTGTCCGTGCCCCGAGCTGGCCCGGTCCACCTGCCCCTCGGGAGGCGCGGTCTCTGCCTGAACCCACACGGGTGTGAACATTGCTGTTGGCATCAATGACCTGTCGCTTCAGCTGCCAACAGTGGCCAGTGCCTAGCAACCACACAGCATCCCCCAAACATGCCCCGCCCTCTGGGTCCCCATGGAGACCGTCACTCTCCTACTGCTCCCAACTTTGGGGGACGCATTACACACCCTTCCCAGCTCCCCCACCTCCGAGTCGCAGGGGGGTGTGGATCGGGCCAAGAGAGCAGCAAAGGGACGCTGTGGCCCGTCCCTCCCACAGCCAGGTGACTCTTGTTCCTTTTAATGCCCGGCTGCAGCCCCAGGCCACACGCCGGATGCTGGGAGCCGTCCCTCCCTGAAGGCTCTCTAGAGACAGGAGACACGGAGCGGCCAGGAAAACGGGGGGCTCTGTCGACAGGTGGGGACACCCAGCCGTCCTGAGCTCAGCTGCCTTCCCCGCTTGCCTCTGGCCGGGCGTGGGAACACCAGGCAGCCCGTGTTGCTGGTGGCCTTCCAACGGCAACTCTACCCCTCACCCCTCCGCCCTCCGCCCCTCTCCCCTGGGTGAGACACAAGGCCAGGGCGACGGGTGTGACAACTAGCACCTGCCCTCCACGCTGAGTCACACAAGCCTTCTCACCACCCCCCGTCCAGCCCCCGGCTCTCCCAGGCTGGGGGGGCGAGCAGTGCCGACCAAAGGAGAGGCCTGTGTCCGCCCGGGGCGCCCACCCTCCTGCTCAGACCCCGAGCCCCCGGCCCAGCCGCTGAGCAGCTGGAGGCGCGTGGGGCGCCGGGCAGCCTCGCCCAGTCCCGGGGGCACTGCCCCTGCGGGCGAGACTGGACGGAGTGTGTCCCAGCCAGCAGGACAGGGCACATGACGCATGGCCAGGCGGAGCGGGGAGAGGCAGGAGGCAGAGCGGCCGAGAAGGACTGGGGCACGCCTCTCAGTGGCAGAGTCCTCCCTCTCACTGTCCCCTCCTCACGGGCAAACGGGGAGAAGCAGCACCTGACAGATGGTAATAAAGGTTACAAATGTGTGTGTGTGTGTGTGTGTGTGTGTGTGATATACATGGATATGTATCTGCGTGGGAATGTGTGCATGTGTGTGTGAACATATATGTGTATGCTATACGAACACGTGCATACATATGTAAATGTGTACCTGTGCGAATGTATCTGGATATGTGTGTGTGCTGTGTTACAATGTAAGTGTGTGAACATGTGTGTGCTATATGAACAGGTGCACATGTATAAATGTGTACATGTGTACATGTATCTGGATATATGTGTGTAGTTGTGTGAATATGTATGTATTTGTATGCTATATGAGCATTGTGTGCATATATGTAAATGTAGATCTATGAATATATTTTTGGATGTGTATGCTGTATGAATGTGCATGTGTGTATGTATATGACTATGTAATGTGTGTATAGGTATGTGACTATCACATTGCATACAGAGTGACTGTTACATGACTATTTCCATGTCCCCGTCCCCAGCCTCCCATGGCCCATCCCACCCCCGGGCAGGCCTCCCAGCTACCCCTTCCTCCCAGAGCCCCCCGCCCCCAGCCTGCCCCTCCCTGAGGGAGCCCTGGCCTGAGAGGCTCGGCCGTCCCAGGCCGGGCACCCCAGCCTTGTGGGCAGCAGCGTGGCTGGTGTGCCCGCTGTAGCTAGAACCGCTCACCTGCCTGCCCAGCAGGTCACCAGAGCCATCCCACCAACCCACACGTCCAGGTCACACCAGTCACCCCAATCACCCCGATTCCTCATCCAGACCGCCGCCTCCCTGTCTCCGTGCACGCCCCCCTCTGACCCAAACGGCCACCTGCCGAGCCCTCGGGCACCCTGGACACGCCCTTCCCATCCTAAGTGTGTACCATTCCCTGGTGCGTACGGACACATAACGAAGTGTCCGTATTAAGTCACCCGACCCGATGAGTTCCGACGTGTGCCCGCGGGGCCATCGCCACAGCTCGCGCCCTGGACACGCCGTGGCGTCCAGACATCCTCTCCCCCTCCATTCCCTCCAGCTTCCCACACAGGGCATCGCTGTGGCTACACATCTGTATTTCAGATCACTTCTCTCTGCCTCCCCTCCCAGCCCGGACAGAGGGCATAATAGGCCACACGGAATAATACGCCATAAATACGCTATGCACTATTGTCTGTCTTCTGTTATGCGACACAGTTATTTTATTATTGAACTAGAGGCCCGGTGCATGGAGCCTTAGGCCTGGCTGGCGATCAGGGCTGATCAGGGTCTTCCTTCGTTCCGCGCCACCCCCTGGTGGTCAGTGCAGGTCATAGCGAGCAGTCGAATTCCTGGTCGGTCGAACTCCCAATGGGACAATTTGCATACTAGCCTTTTATTATATAGGATATAGGATGTTGGAATGTAGCAACGGTTGGTTCTCTTATTACTCAGTAACGTTCGCTGTGTAGACACCGAAGCTTGCCTCTCCGTTCACGGCGGCTAGGCACGTGGGCTGTTTCCAGATGTTGGGGATCACAGATAAAGTCTCTGAACGTTCATGGGCCAGCGTTTCCGAGGAATAACATTTGCATTTCTCTCGGGTAGGTATCCAGGCGGGAGAGGCTGGGCCACGTGCTCAAATATGTCCCAGAGAAGACGCGGAAGTTACGTCGCTACCAGCAGCGAGAGTTCCCGCATCTCTGCCAGCACTTAATACTCGGGCTTTAGGATGTGTCATTGTAACAGACGTGCAGTGGTTCCTCACGCGGTTCCAATGTGCATTTCCATAATAATTATGTGGAGCATATTTTCATTTTCTTATTTGTTAACTATGTGTCTTACTTGGTGACGGGTCTGTTCAAACCTCCTGCCCTTTTGGAGGTGGGAGTAGTTTGTTCTCAGGATTTAGCTGTAAGAGTTGTTTATATCGTGAATGTACAAGTCGGATGTTTGCATTACAAATATTTTCTCCCAGCCTGTGACTTGTCTTATTTCATAATAGTGTGGTTTGAAGAGCTAATTTTTTCTATTTTGAGGAAGTCAAATTTATTGATTTTTTTTTCTTTTATACTTGGTGGCTTTGGGGCCCCTTTAAAAAAATTATTTGCCAAATTCGAGGTCATGAAGATTTCTTTTAAAAGTATCGCAGTTTTGCCTGTTACATTCGGCCCTGTGACCTCTGTCGAGTTGACACTTTGAGTGGCGCAAGGAAAGCGCCTGTATTTGCTTCGTGTGGCTCCCAGCTGTCCCGGGGCCACCGCTTGAGGAGGGCGCCCTTGACTGACCTGGCACCTTCGTCAAAAACCAGCTGCTGAGAGCGATGGGCCGTCTCTGCCCTTTCCGTGGACTCTGACTCCTCGTGAAATTTGAACCAGGAGCCGGGAGCGTCCTGTGAGTCGGTGCCGGCCCCGTGCTTCCCTGGGAAGAGGGACGGCGAGGGCTACAGAAGACCATCCGCCTGGGGATCAGCTCAGCAAGGACAGTCCCAGCCCCGCTGCAGCCCCCGCTCCACGGCCCCGCCCCCTGCAGCCCAGACACGGAGACGTGTGAACGCTGAGGGCGAGGCGCGCACAGCTTCTCATTTATCCCAGGGCAGCGATGGCGAACCTGTGACACGCTGTCAGAGGTGACACGCGAACTCATTTTTTTGGTTGATTTTTCTTTGTTAAATGGCATTTAAATATATAAAATAAATATCAAAAATATAAATCTTGCCCTAACCGGTTTGGCTCAGTGGATGGAGCGTCAGCCTGGGGACTCAAGGGTCCCAGGTTCGATTCCGGTCAAGGGCATGTACCTTGGTTGCAGGCACATCCCCAGTGGGGGGTGTGCAGGAGGCAGCTGATCGATGTTTCTCTCTCATCGATGTTTCTAACTCTCTATCCCTCTCCCTTCCTCTCTGTAAAAAATCAATAAAATATAATATATATATATAAGTCTTTGTTTTACTATGGTTGCAAATATCAAAACATTTCTATATGTGACACGGCACCAGAGTTAAGTTAGGGTTTTTCAAAATGCTGACACGCCGAGCTCAAAAGGTTCGCCATCACTGTTAGGGCTTCACACCCGTCGCTCACACTGGCCAGTGACCCCAAAACCACACAGCAGAGGCGTGGCCCCGGGTGCTGGGGGCCCTCCCTCCACGCCACGGACTCGCTCATCTCCCTCCTTCTGCGTCTCCACCTCCTCATCCCGTCGACTCAGAATCACAGGGTTTTCCTTTTGCCTGGAACAGCCTCAGGAACGAGGGGGCGAGCGAGGGGGCAGACAAGGGGCCGCCATCAAACCGCACCCGGCCCCTCGTCTTCGTGGCCGCCGAGCCACTGTTTGCCCGGGAGCCCTGGCCGCCTGTTTACCTTCGACGGCCAGGCATCTGAGCACACACACGGGCTGTTTGCCTCACGGGGAGGGAATGTTCCCGCCGTCGGGACGGCAATCAGCGGAGCCATCCATCACCCGCCTCCCTGACAGCCCTGGTCCACCCCACCCCGCCCGCTCCCCGCGCCCAGACGCCGAGCTGCCAGGCACAGCGAGTTAAGAGTCATGGGGCTTCATTAAACAAAAATTCCACCTTAAGGAGCTCTCTCTCTCTCACCATGTTTTCTCTAAAAACCCCGTCATCGCCCTAATCTGGGGCAAAATATTCACACCCGCGCCCCAGGTCTGTGCTGGCGGGGAACCTGTGCCCGCCCCCCTGTCCGTGAGCGGGGCAGAGACCGAGGGGCGCACAACCCCGAGAAACACAGGAATCGAGGAGTCGGGGAGGGAGAACTATTCCTGCTACGGAAAGAAGGTAATTCCGACCAAAGTAGAAAGCACGAGCCAATAATCACAAAACGATGGGCCTATGAGAGCGCACCCGGGCCGCCCACCCCAGGACGCCGGTCAGAAACGGAGCGAGGCGCGCGGGACCAGGCGTGAGGACGGGGTCCCTGCACTACGACATTTCATGGCGCTACTTCTGCACAGGCAGCAGCACATCTTCAAAACCCAAAACTGGGGCACGTGACCAAGCAACACAACACCTCTGCTTTCTAGTACTGCTGACCTACAGTGAACTGAACATCGCCACGGAGAATCAGTGTGCAGCGAGTGCTTACAACGCAAGCTCCTCCAGTGCGGTTCCTTCCTGCTCAGAACGCTGCCCACTGGGTCGGATTCTTGGGAAGAGACAGGCGAGGCCGTTTCTAGATCTACAATAACTGTGTGTCCTTTCTTTAATCTCATGTCGATATTCTGAACATCAAATCACCCCAGAAACAGTCCTAGCTCACAACGTGCTGTTCTGGGCATCGATGCTTGAGGCTGCCCACGTCCTCAAGAGTCTGCCCTAAAGTGAAAGGAAATGTTGAAAACAGGCCCCTCGGATGCAGGTGTCGTCGGACAAGAGACGCCTTGCGAAGGAGCCAGCCGTCAGCCACGGCAGCGCGGCGAGCTCTCCGGGCCCAAATAAACCCGAGATACTGCGGAGAGGACGTGCCACTCTCAGCACCAGGAGCCCTCGCCCTGAGCACACACCACCTGCTGTTTCCGGGCCCCCCTCCAGCAGTCACTCCCCAGGAATGTCCCGCCCCTCCTCGCTGTCTGGCTGTCCCTCCTGATGAGAAAATTCTCCTACGTAGGTGAGGAATGGCGCTCATTTCTCACACGACTGAAGCAACGGCCCCCTTCATCCCCGAGTGTGGTGGCCTCTGAGCGAGCCCGGGGTCCCCCATACCCAGGGTTCCCCATGCCCAGGGTCCCGCGAGCCCGGGGTCCCCCTTGCCCAGGGTTCCCACATGCCCGGGGTCCCCCCTACTCGGGGTCCCCCATGCCTGGGGTCCCCCATACCCAGGGTCCCCCATGCCCGGGTTGCAGGCTGGATCCCCAGCAGGGGCGTGCAGGAGGCAGCTGATGGATGTTACACTCTCACATAGATGTTTTGCGCTCTCCATCTCCCTTCCTCTCTCTCTGAAAATCAATAAACTCTTCTTTGAAAAGGAAAAGAATTATTATACGGCTACAGTAAGTGAGACAGTCAGATATTGGCACAAGGTTAGGGAATAGATCAACGGAACAGAATAGAAAGTAGAGACACACAAGAAGGGAGCGGGTATGTTTGTCTGTTAAGAAATATAACACACACCTTTGGGGAAAAAGAGTAGACATACCAGGTGTACCGGTTAATAATGCGGATTTTTTTCAATAGATGGAGTTACACATATGTTGATATACATGCGATTTGATATGTGTGCTATATTGTTGTATTGACAACAAGCTTCAAAACTTCATATGTCAAATTTGCTGAAGGTGTTAACATCATAGATATTTTTACATTTAAAAATGTCGAATTCTGTGCCAAAAAAAGAGCATTGGCGGAAAGTTTTAATTCATTACTTTATTTTGAAGAAAAGTACTACTGAATACTTCGGGAAGCTTATGGTTAACATGCTCCATCTCAAGATACTTGTGAACACTGGTTTAAACGCTTTAAAAGTGATTATTTCGATGTGAAAGACAAAGAACGTCCAGGTCAACCGAAAAAGTTTGAAGGCCAACAATTACAAGCATTTTTGAATGAAAATGCGTGTCAAAGTCAAAAACAACTCGCAGAAAGATTAAACGTTGCTCAGCAAGCAATTTCCGATCATTTACAAGCAATGGGAAAGGTTTTAAAGGAAGGAAAATGGGTGCCACATCAACTGGATGAAAGACAAATGGAAAACCGAAAAGTCATCAGTAAAATGTTGCTTCAACGGCACAAAAGAAAGTCTTTTTTGCATCGAATTGTGACTGGCGGTGAAAAGTGGATTTATTCTGAGAATCCCAAACGCACAGAATCATGGTTTGATCCAGGTCAACCATCAACATTGACTGCCAGGCCAAATCGCTTTGGAAAGAAGACAATGCTCTGCGTTTGGTGGGATCAGGAAGGTGTGGTGTATTATGAGCTTCCCAAACCAGGTGAAACCGTTAATACTGATCGCTACCGACAACAAATAATCAATTTGAACCACGCTCTGATCATAAAACCACCAGAATGGGCCAGAAGACACAGCAAAGTAATGTTGCTTCATGATGACACACCATCACACACTTCAAAACCAGTTAAGGACACGTTAAAAGATCTTGCCTGGGAGGTATGAACCCACCGCCGTATTCACCAGACCTTGCTCCCTCAGATGACCACTTGTTCCAATCGATGGCACACGCACTTTCTGAGCAGCACTTCAAAGGGTACGAAGAAGTGGAAGATTGGGTCCCTGAATGGTTTGCCTCCAAACAAGAAAAGTTCTATTGGGACGGTATCCACAAATCACCTGAAAGATGGGGAATGTGTAGCTAGCAATGGACGTTACTTTGAATGAAGCACTTTTGATGTTTCTCTTGAAATTATCGTGTTTTCTTTGATTACAAAATCCGCCATTACTAACCGGTACACCTAGTACATGTTCGGCCAATCCATCTCCAACCGATGTGGGAAGAACATCTGCAGCAGCTGGAGCTGCAGCAAGCAGTCACCGGAGGGGAGGGAAGAGCCGGCGACCCTACCTCCCTCCGTACTTGGGAAATACTGTGTAGAGCATGGCTGGGTGGGGACCACAGTGGGGGGCCTCTGGGGGCCGGGGCGTGGGTGTGGGCTCCTGCTGGGATTTACAGGGGGAGGGGGGACCTGTATGAGGCCCTGGAACAAAACCAGGGCCTTTCGTTTATTTATGCCCAGAGGTTTTTACACCTGAGCCCGTGGAGACCCGTGAATTGTGAATCAGCAATAAACCGAATCAGCAATAAACCCTCTCTTCAAGCCCGGGGCGGGGGCGGGGGGACCGCCCCCCAAAACCTTCCCAGGCAGGTCAGGAAAGCGCGGCCATGAAGGGGCCGGGGCCACGGTCCCATCCCCTCTTCACCCCGGAACCTGGCGGGGCTCCGGGCAGCCCTTCCACTTCCGCCCCGGACCAGAGAGAGGCCAGCCTGCTCCCGCTCAGGCGCGTCCCGAGCGAGCGGGCACCTCGCTGGCCTTGCTTCATGCGGCTGGTTGCTTTCTAACGGGTTTGCTGTCCACGTCACTAATGTCTGTGATTGTAACGTTCTCTCCTTCCTGTTTTCAGAACCAATTTTTATTTGAGAAGAAGGAGGTCTGTTTACTCAGGCCTCTGCCAATCAGTGTGTCCCGCCAGGACAGGGAGAGGAAGTCAGGGTGGAAAAGGCACTCGCCGTCCCGGTCCCTCAGCGAGGGGCACGGGGCTCAGACCAGGCCTTCTGCACCAACCGCACGCCCTTGGCCCTGTCCAGCTGCCACGGCCCCACGGCTGGACCGGAAACACACCCTTCAGTTTGTTAACATGCTAATCCCGTGAACCCCGGGCCCTATAGGAACTCGGCACGCCAGGCCCTGGCCATCTTCTGTGTGTGAAACCGTCTCCCACGCAGAGCGCCAGGGTCGGGGGAGGGCCCGGGACTCAGGTGCCCCGCAGCCTGCAGCACGCGTGGCCTTGGCCTCGGACCCAGGCTCCTCCTATTCCGACAGCTCCTGAGGCTTGGGCAGGGGCGGCGCTGGGGGACCCCAGGAACACGAAACCCTGGCCCAGCCTTCCCACAGCGGCCGGGGACATGGGCTTTCAGCGAGGGGGTCCCAGTGCTATGGGATTGCAGGGTGCACGGCCCCCACCCGCCCCTTCCCTCAGGGCCCCTCGCCCCGCAGCGACCCCACCCACGTGGGCAGGAGCCACCACCTACACGGGCCAGGTTTATTCCCAGTTCTCCTCGGGCAGCGGTTTATCCAAAAGCGTCCTCCCACCACGTCCATGGCCACCCAGCTCTGACCTGGCCACCCTGCACCTGAAGAGCAGTCAGACCCACCGTCAGGGCACCACGTGGGCGGGCCCTTCACAAGCAGCCGCCCCCCTGAGAGCAGGAGGCGCTGCTGCCCAAGGGCAGGGCACACGCTTCCCCGAGGGATGCTCCATGAGGCCAAGCATCCTCGTCCTGGACACGGCAGGTGCGGCTGAGGCGGCCGGATCCAGGGCTGGACGGTGGCAGGAACAACGCAACCTGGACACCAAGTCGGCTGGGCTGTCCCTCCAAGCGGCTCCTCCCGCTGCTCGGGGATGTTCCCGCAGCCCTGGTCACCTGGACACCCACACCCACGGGGGTGCTCACACCCACAGGGCCCCCACACCTAGGGGAACCCCACACCCATGGGGGCGCTCACACCCACAGGGGCCCCCACACCCACGGGGGCGCTCACACAGCTGCCCGTGCCCAGGCTCTGTGGACTGGTCGCCTGTAGCTCCGGGAAGCAGAGGTTTGGAGCATCAAGTGGCCACAGTGAGATTAGAATAAGGACCCCCCCCCTGGGCGGAGAAAGTGCCCCAATCGGCACAGGGGGGTCTGGTCGCTGCGGGGACACCAGGGGGAAGTCTTTACAGACACCCTTTGCTCAAACCTCGGTGCAGCTGGTCTGTCTTTATGCACCAACCATGTGCCTATTCACCCGACGTGCTTGCCCTGGGGCGGGGGCGGGGGCGGGCCCATCCCTCTACCGCACCGTACACCTGCCTCTATCCTCTCCCGGCAGACGGACGGACGGACGGACGGACGGAAGTGTGTCTTTGGGACAAGGTCTCTGCCGCCAGCTAGGACCAGCGGCACAGTCTCCCTGGCCAGCGCCAGTCTCAGCAGGAAGGGGAGGGGAGGGCAGGGGATGGGGGGGAGGGGAGGGGAGGCGGTGAATGACAGTACCAGCGTCTGGTAGAGCCTTTATTGTGCAGAAAGGCTTTCTGCTGATTGTCTTGGCGACGGTGTCAGAACAAAAGCAGAGACAGCTGCAGGTTCGACAACACAAGAGCGCTGCCCGGGCTCACTACACCATCCCCGGGGCCGACCAGGCACCAGGCAGGCGACGCATGACGTCATCTGTGCCCAGGCCCTGACGGCCGGGAGGAGAGGAGAGGAGAGTTCAAGGTGGGCCCTCGTCACAGTCTGCGTGCGAGCCGTCTACGCGGGAAAGGGCGTCCCGGACGGAGCAATCCCTTCACCGTGAACCTGGTGAGCGGGGCCGCCGGCGTGTCCTCCTCCTGCAGCACAGACACGGCGCCCCCACGCTGACCTGGGACGCGCGCGAGAGCGCCTGTCGGCGATAGTGTTTCCTTCCGACCCTGAGGCGCCCGTGTGCCCAGATGAACCGACAACACGCGTGGCCACAGAGAAGAAGTCGTTGCATCTTTGGAGACCGGGGTGCGCTCACAGAGAAGTGTCGACGCGCGCGTCCAGGAGGCTATGAGGCAGGCCACATCCGAGGTGTCGTACTGGCTGTCGGGCACGTCTGGGGCGCGGCGGCCCCGTCATACAGCGGGGACCCCGAGGAGGAGGACGGCCGGGCCCGGGGGGCCCAGGGCGGCGGGGTGGGGGGCAGGCCCCCGGAAGAACGGGGCCCCCAGCCCGCTGGGCATCGAGGCCTGCTGAGCGCCCGGTGTGCCGGCGCCGCTGCTCACGGACCACAGGCCGGGGTACTGGCTGCAAGGGGAGGACACGCCATCAGGGACCCGGCGCTGGGCCCGGACCATCAGAGACCCCGAGCCGGGCCCAGACCAGCGCAGGAGGGGCCCCCAAACCCTGCTCCTGAGAACCGGGGACACGGCCTTCCAGCCCGCAGTTCCCATGTTAGACCCACTGGGGCGCGTGTCAGCGTCACAGCTGTCCGCCAGGAGAGCCGCCGGGAAGCCGGCCGCAGGACATCGGCACATCCGCCAGGGGCCCAGCCCTCAGCGTGTGCTATGGAGACTCCAGGACAGGAACCCAGAACCCCAGATGGACTGAACCCCACGTCCGAGGATGTGCTTCACGAGGCAGCTGTGTGACCCCCCCACCCAGGGACCTCGGGATGGAGACGACATCCCGAGAGCCCTGGCCTGCAGACGCGTCCCTCCACGAGTCCCCCCACCAGGCGCCAGGCCCTGAGCTTGGGGCTGGAACAGCTGGGCTGCCACCCCTGGGCACTGGGCACAGCAGAGAGGAAGGGCCTAGGGATCGAGCCACAACCCGGGCATGTGCCCGTGACCGTCATCAAACCCAGGACCCTTCAGTCTGCAGGCCGACGCTCTATCCACTGAGCCACACCAGCCAGGGCTAAAATTGCTTTTTAAAAATGCCTTTCTCCTCCACAGAACCCGTCTACGAGCGAAGGAGACTTGTGCTGGGCGGGCTGTGTTCACCAAGCTCACATGGACTTGAACTTGCCAACAAGCCTGGGGTCAGAGGTGCGGCGACACCCGGGTCCCAGCGAAGAGGAACGCGGCTCTGAGCTGCCGGGAGGACAGGGCAGTGCCGAGGCCTCAGGGGTCCCCGCGGCCAGCACCCCATTTGTAACCACGGGTCACACATTGACGTGCGGGGGTCTCGGTGACCTCAAGCCCTCGAAAGTTGGCTGGTTTGTAGACACTTCAGTTCTCATTACAGGGGCACCATTTCCTGGGCACATCTGGGGTTCTGTGACAACGCGCTGCATCGCCGTGGGGGTCGAGGTGACGTCCACAGACCCGCCCGGAGGGGAGCCCCACGCCCGGTCCTGTCCTGCCTCTGAACGGGTCTCCTCGTCGGGAAATGGACCTGGCTTCTAGCTCTGTCAGCTTTTATTGTAAGAATCCAACGAGGAAACGCAACCCAGGTGCCGACCCGCTGGGCCTCTGAGCCCGTCTCCTTCTGCGTAACTTTCCAGCTAATGGGTCAGTCACCCGCCTTCACCAGGGACCAGCACGCATGCTCACGGCTTCGACTCCCAACAGGAAGGCCAACCGATGCATGTCCTTCATTACTAGCTCCTGCCGAAGAAGATTCTGGAAACCTACTCTTAAGCCCGAACTGGCGGTTACGGAACAGCCCGGGGTGTAAAGTCCCGCGTGAGGAACACGTCAATGACACCCGCACGGGGCCCGGGGGAGGACGGATCGCGTGGGCTCCGCACGAGCCACGTAACTGCCTGCTGTGCTGTGCGCCTGCCCCTGACTGACACTGACACTGTCAACTGCAGCTGAAAAATGTTCAATCCTTTTCTAAAAATTTACCTACTGACCCCACAGCCCTGGGAGGAGGCCGAGGCGGGGGCTCCTGTGTCCTTTCCTTAAGGAAACGAGGCTGGGGTTTCAGCGGCTGTCGGCCCCGGAACACGCAGCCCCCACACCCAGAGCCCAGGCCCGAGCAGAACCCCGCGGGACCTGGGACCCCTGCACAGCCCTGGCGAGTGGTCAGCCTACACGTGAAAACCCCACCCACAGGTCAAGGGCAGGATCAAGGCCCGCGAGTGGACACGGCATGCAGCCAGGCACAGGGGTCCCTGCTCAGCCGCACCGCTCCCCGCGCAGACGTTACCTGGCGCCCGCAGGTGGGCCGGAGCCGGCGCTCACGGGCAGCACGCCGGTGTGGGCGTGGGCGGGCACCCCGAGGCCCGGCCAGTTGTCGTGGGGCTGGAGCATGGACACGCAGGCAGGCGAGGAGTCGGAATAGGCTGCGGGGGCAGGAGAGCGTGGTTGTCGGCGGGGTCCTCCAGGAGCGACAGGTGCAGCGCACAGTCCCCAGGACGCAGCCACCAACCCGAGCGGGCCTGCGCTTCCCTGTGCAATGCGCCCTCAGCCCTTCCTGCAGCCAAGGCTCCGGGGTGCGGGCCAGGCTCCCAGGTGCGGGCCAGGCTCTGAGCGAGGCTGAGTGAGGCCCCGGAGCTGCTGGAGCTGCTATGAGCGCAGCCGGGCTCTGCCCGAGGGGCGGCTGTGCCCTGCGACCCCCTGCCTGGGTGTGAACGCGCACCCACTACGCACCCCGCTGCACGAGGCTTTGCCTTGTCCTTAGAGCCGCGGCCGCCCGCAGACAACCTCCCCTCCTTCGACTGAGGACTCACCCCTTTCACCTCCCTGTCCCCAAACAGTTCTTAAGAGCTGAGGGCTGGGGCCGCTGTGGCTCTGGGAGGTTTAAAGGGGACCTTCTCGCCGGGGCCCAGCCTGGGGGGGAACGAGCCCCAGCGACCCCCTCCTTCCCAGGGAGCCCTGTCCCGGCCCAATGGCGTGGCTGCCTGAGCGCATTCCTCAGCTGTTGCTCCTCCGGGAGGCGGTGCGACAGCCAAGGAAAGGGCCACCTGAGGCCAGGGACCCCGGCTGGCGCCCAGAACCACCAGGGCAGAGCCTGGGGCGGCGACAGGCTGCGGGGACGGGACCCCACCCTCGGACAAACACGGGGCTCTGAGCAAGCGGGGGCTGCTGTGCCGGCCGAACACCCCCACACCCCTTGGGGAGGCTGAGGAGACCCCAGGCCTGGGCGCAGGGTGTGGGGTGCGGGGTGGGGGTGGGACATCCGCGCCTTCGGACCCACTGGCACAGGGCTCCTGGCCGAGGACGGGAATGGAGGACCCTTCACCGCAGGCCTGGCTTGGGTGCGTTCCTGCGAGGTCTCCTCCTCTGGGCCCTGCTGCTGCCTCCCCAGCCCCCAGGCCCCCCATCTCCCCCTCGGCCCCCCAGCACCCTCCGCGCCGCGAGGACCCCTCCACCGGGGGGCTCTGGACTTAC